CACCTTGCTGGGGTCGTTTGATCCCAGTACTCTTTCCTGCCATGGCAGGGGGTCGGACTAGATGATCTACTCAGGTCCCTTCCGATCCTAGAAACTATGAAACTATGAAATAACTATGAAACTATGAAACAAAAGATTCAAACACCTAGGGCTCCTACAGACATGCAGAGAGTAGGGGTGTGTGGAGCGGGCTGTATTCGATTCTGATATGGCCCGATTTGGGGGGCAGTGATTCGATTTGCTGATTCAGATCACTGTCCTGATTCGATCTGGCTGAATCCGAATCTTCAATTCTGATCTGGAGAATCAGTGATTCGGCCATAGACACAGCTTTATATGTTTTTTATACATACCTCAAGGGAGCAGGCGCAGTTCATGAACGTGGAGATGGTGGGGGCCCCTGCATGCTTGACGACAAACCTGGAAGTGGACCAGACGTACTTTCTGGGTCTGCTGCCAAGCATGTGGGAGGGTTCCCTATGCCCCCCCGCCAGATCAGCGATCGGCCACAGGGAGACCCTGGGTGCCCCCCCCCAGACCCAGGAGGCACCAGTTACCGAGCTGGGGGGCAGGGGGGTCCCCCGCACACTCTGTGGCAGACCCCAAAGTGGACTGGATGTGCTTCTGGTCCACTTCCGGGTCCACCGCCGAGCATGCTGGGGACCCCCCCGTGCTCCTGTGGGAAACTCCATCCCCCCGACCATCTCAGCATTCACAAGCCACCTAGTACCTTGAGGTATGTAGAAAAAACATATAAAACTGTTTATATGTTATATAAAACATATGAAACTGTTTAAAACTATGTCCAAATCTTTGAATCTCTCCAAATCGAATCGGAGAGTTCCAATTCAATTTGGAGAAATTAATGGGTTTCCTGATTCGATTCGGATTTGGAGATTCAGCTGTTGAATCAGGCCAAATCTCCTCCAAATCAAATCAGCAACTGAAGCTTTGCACAGCCCTAGCGGAGAGCCTGCTCTGATGCACTGGAAATCCAGCGTGTCAGAGCAGACTCAATTCATTGAGTCTCCTGGAGCGTGTAAATTGACATGCTCCGGCAGCCTTGCGTATCGCATGTATCAGCATCCCAGTGCATCCCCGCACTGAAAAAATGGTGGCAGGGCACTTTGAAATAAAACACATTTGATCACTTCTTCAGCATGGGGACACATGGGGATGCAGATACATGCAATGCATGGGCACTTTAATTAGTGTGGCTCTCTAACTAAAGCACCCAGCACCACGTCCCAGAGCATGTGTAAAAACACCCCTAAATACAGGTGTTTGGGGGATCCCTCTCCTCCAAGCATCTCTTTACCAAGAGATTCAGTCATGAATTGTGATCTGACACCTGGGCTCATCTGTAAAAAAGAAAAAACAGGAAAAACAGGCATAAGCCACTGTTTAGCACCCTCATCTGGGACTTACCCTGTTTGAGTTAAAATTGAGAACTGAAACTCAGTTTCCCTTCACCATATAATAGGGTATTCCAGAGTGGATCTGTCTCCTCTTTTGGAGCTGTTCAACTTTCTACAAATAATTAAATATTTTGAGGCCAGAGAGAGACTGCAAGCCAACTAACAAAGCCAAGAGGTGCCTCAGGACCTTTGTGGACCGAGTTCCAGCCATTGCTGTCATCTGTAGTCACAGCAAATGTCAGTCTTAGCAGCTGTTCATATGCAGGTTATATTAGGACTGAAAATAATGCAGACACACCTTGATTAAAGGTTTACTAAGTTGGACATCAAGGATGGGAGGTTGGATTTGCTTTCTGTTAGCTTCAAGGTGATACATTTATTAATTGTATGCTAGGTTTTGGTTTGCCCCTGTTACAAGCACATACAAACTCCCACTCTGGCTTACCCAGCTTCATTCAAATTTTCAAAAATGTCTAGACAGTAAGAAAACCAAATTACATCAATTACTGAAGGGGAAAATGTTTAATGAAATACTATGCTATCTTTTAATGGAAGCCTTGCAAAGCTAAGGGAGCACAAATAGAACAGTCCCACACCACACACTCACCTAGCTCTATCTGCATCAATGCCATTTCACTATACTTACACATGCCACAGAGTTTATTCCATGACTTACATACTGGGTTTACAACAGCAACCAGGCCTCTCTCCCTCTTCATTACATGACACCCAACACTCTCTCACACTCAAGAATACCATCGAATAACGAAAAAGTCATTTTAAAAACCTACAATATCCACTGGCAGCAGGGAATAGAATGACCTCAATACTCTTAGCATTTACATAACGGAAAAAGTTCTATAAGAACATTCATTAATTGCCTAATTAATTAGCAAAATCTTAAGATCATTGACCCAGATCTCTCACCTTCCTATGCGCTTCCGTTGCTAGTGTCAGCTTTCCTAATTGAACCCCCTTTGAAGAATCTTTTATGCAGGCATTTGGCATTGGCACAGATGGTCCCAAGCACATGGCAGCAGTTGAGAAGGAGCCTTCTGAACTGGATTTAGAGGAATGTAGAGACTCTTTGAAATTCTTCAGTGCAATCTGTCTCTGTAACCGTAACACTTCCTTCTGAGATTCCCGCAATAGATGATCAAAGTCAATGAGGTTCAGGCAATGATGACCCTCCTAAGGGAAAATCAAACACAACAACAGAAGTAGCCCTGGAGTCAAAAGGATGGAAAACGTCAGAGGACAATGGTTTCATTCATGAATTGACTGAGTGTTATTCAAGAGACACCAGCACAAATGCACCTGCACTCTGTCACAGCTTAGCATGCAGAGTTTTCTGTTTGCATGGCCCCCAAAGCAAAGTACTGTGACTAGCACATACTCCCAAAACACTAAAGGACTTGACTGTGCCTCTGAGACTCACCTGTGTCAATAGATGACTACAGCACCCAGAGGAGGAACAAGCTAGAAGATAAAGCCACAGCAACCACCTCAGTGCTGAGGGGCACTTGAGAGCACTTACATATGCATGTATGGTAACTACCAGCAGGGAGCGTGCCAGGTCAACATTCTCTCATTTCTCCAACAAAATGGAGCTAGCCTGACTACTGGCTGAGGGATTCAGTGTGTGTATTAGAAAGTTGCCATGATTCTAGCCAGCTTTGGGCATCAGAAAGAGTTAGCATTTTTTAAGTACTGAGACAACAGAAAGATGATCTCAAAGAAGATGTCCTAAATTATCTCTATAAAGTGGCTTGTTTTGCAAAAGTTAAGAAACCTGGTGGGTGGAGAAGAGTGTTTGGACCACAGACTTGGGAAGGCCCCCCTCTGTTCTTGCCCCCCAGCAGCCAGTGAAGGGAAACCAGGAAAATTTATTTGTACAAAGTCATGCGAGTCTTTCCACCAGTTTGTTTGCATTCCTCAAAGTGCAGTAAAAACAATTATTTTTACAGGCTAAAAAACATGAAAGACTAGTTCTGTAGCAGTGTTTGTTAGAATTGCTCAAGGATAAGGCCCCTTCCTCCAGGAAACTGATAGTCATGGGGATCGCCTCAAAAATGGAGAATCTGTGAAATCTTTAGTCTGTCCTCACCTCGGTCTGACTGGCTGTAACAACACTCTGCACCTTATCAGCATGACTGAATGAGAGCGAGGTAAAGATCATTATCACCATTCGACAGAGGGGAACTGAGGCACAGTGCTGTAGGCATTGCCCCTACATCACAGAGTGAGTTAGGATTAGAAACTGTATTCTGTTCACTGTTACACCCAGGCCTGGTAGGGTGGACAATGAATGGCTTCAGCATTGTGCAGTATCTCTCTCCTTTCTGCTAGAAAAAGCAGTCTGCTCCGGAGGTGGCTGCCAGGACCAGGGCAAGTATCACATCAGGAAGCAGAAGCTCAGTCCTTCCACTGCTGCTGCCACTATAACAAAACCCCAGGGCACTTACCCTCCCACACCCTCCACCTCGCATAACTCCCTTGGACATGCCCTAGCCCACACTGCCTGTCCTGCCTAGTGCTCAACTAGCAAGTGGCACAGAGGGGAAGCCCAAGCCCTCACACCAACAATGACATGTTTGTAGCAACACAGCTGTGAAATTCATCAGTAGTATATATAACTCCTTTGCTGCAGGAGATTGAATTTTCTCTAAAGTTTTCAAGTCTATGAAATATTTAGCATTAATGCCATTCCAGATAGTTTTCAGTTGGTTAGAATCTACTGTAGTCATTTCTGGAATCATTTATCCTCAGTGGGCCCCTGTCCCTTTCTTAGGGTTGCCTACCACTTTGCTTTGCTTTGTTCACTGCTGCTGTGCATTAACCAGAAGTTTCTATTTTGCAGGTCAGAGTGATAACTCTACCTTCTTCTCCTCAGTGGTTGGGATCAGCTTAGAGGTCATCAATGTGTCTGATCAGTTCAAATTGCTCCTATTCATGTACATTACCTTGTGCAGTATCCTCAGCAAACATGAAATTTAATCCTATTTATGTAGGTTTTTTAGGGTCCTCTTCAATTTCTCACAGTCCTTCAACCTCATATTTAGGTGGCTTGGCATTTCATATTATGAAAAATCTTCCCTTTCACTGAGGAAGTCTAGTGCCCATATGGTTTACAGAAATGAACTTGACTTTACTAAGGGGTTAGCACTGAGGTGAATTGCCTGTTGCTGGCACCATGAAAATATATTCAGATGTGGATGAATAATTCATAGATTTTGACACTAGAAAGAATTGGCAGATCATCCAGTCTGACCTACTTACAAACCAGATACCTAGTGATTCCACACAATGCCATCATTCACACTAGAACTATCTTTTAGAAAACTAATTACTACATAAAGACTTCAAGTGACAGAATTCAAGACACGTAAAAGAGGTATTTGAAGGGATGATTCCCTTCACTATGAAAATGGTAGTCTGAATTTGTCTGGCTTCAACTCCCAGCCACTAGATCTTGTTCTGTGTTTGTGTGCTAGGTTAAATTCCATGGAAAGAAGTGGAAGGAATGAAGTGAACCACTCAGGGACTACTTGTTTTATATGCAGTACACACCAATCAGGAAGAAAAGCCAGGAGTATTATTTTGGCTGGTTCCAGGTGAGGACAACCTAAACTCTATATATCCTAACTTTTCAGTTTTGGGCTTGGAAAACTTATATATGTCCCTTGCACAGAGATTTTTTTTTAAATAATAAATATACTGCAGTATCTCAGTCCTAGTGATTATATTATCAGAGCTCAATCTTACAGGTGTTCAGCACTCAGGCCCTGTTCCACTTAAGTAAGTGGAGGATGAAGTTAAGGTTAAGTCTGCACATAGTGTAGAGATATCCAAGCTAACTTTAAATTAGACAGATCTGGTACCAGTCATGCCACATATTCATGGAAATCTTACTGAATTGGCAGCTGTGAATGTTCAAGCTGGACCCAAGCAACCACTCCCCTCTAGTCCCAGAACACAAACTGTGCAATCTAGATAAGCAAGCAAAACAGCTTGTTTTCTGAAGGGAAAAGATTCCCAACAAAATTCTTCCTAATTGCAGAATTGGAAGGTTTCAAAGGAAAGCAGCAAGAAATATCAAAGATGAAGGGTCTGGCAAAAACACAGTGAAAAGAAAAGGACTGATGCTCAGGGAGGCAATAAGAAGGACCATAATAAAAGTGTCTAACATTGTGAAGGTCTAGAGAAGAGATACCAGGAACTTACACTCTCCCTGTCTCAGGCTCCTGAAAGATATTACTATAATAGTATGACTGGGATCTGAGAACTGTTATGCGTGATCCCAAAAATCGCATGTCCTGGATGTGTATGGCAAGATGTACAATTTTTGGAATGGGGCATAAAATTCATCAAATCCCAATTGTGCTACTGCCAGGCCTGAACTAGCCAAACCGAGACTTGTGGCTGCCACTTGCCTGATCCCAGGACTCTGAGGCTGCCAGTTGGGATTAAGTACCTGATCCTAGTTCAAGACCTGGGGCTGCCCCTAACCTGATCATGGGGATTAGACTGGCAAGACTGGGTCCCAGGCTCCAGCAGTTTCCCTCTGCCGAATCCTATCAACTGACTATCAAGATTGGGCAGGGGGCAGCTTCAGGTGTCAGGCACATGTCCTATGTTCAATTTAAAGCATGATACAAACCAGTCACAAAGATGTTCCATATTAAATATAGAACATCTTTGTGACTGGTTTGCCATTTTATACCATACCATAAATTTGCATAATTTAACATTCCATTGCATAAATTTGCAATTTATTGCACAATTAACACATTAATCACAAAATATACCCGACAGGACCCTCGTAAAACAAGAACAGGAAGAAATTAAAAGGCAGGAAATTTTTAAAAATACAAGGAATACTGACTCACTTTATTGTGTAATAAGTCTCTTAAACTGATAGTTATTGGTTCTTGCCAAGCCAAAAATTTAGCAGTATTTAAAGAGGGCTTTCACCTTTACAGGCAGGACAAAAATGATTGAGTTATAATGGTTAATTATGGTGACAAGCATTTTGGAAGTGAACTAAACCCTCCTGTTTCTGGGCCGAAGGCATCCTCTGCCTATTAGAGGTCAGGATGAATCCTTCATGGAAGTTATCCCAGATCAGCTTACAAGAGGGTTTTCGCACCCTCCTTCATAGCATCTGGATCTGGCCATGATCAAAGAAAGACAAGGCCTGAACTGGATCAACCTTGTGTCTGGCAGTCTCAGTGTTCATCTCTAATCAGATGCAAACCAAGGTTTATGATACTAAGTACACTAACAAAATGCTTGTTCATTAATTCCGTGACAAAAAGCAAAATTTATAAACTAAAGTATATGTTATAAACTATTCACTTAGCTTCTCTGTGCATGAAATGGCAGGGTTTAGCACTCTGGGAGGTACATCTACGCATACATTAACGCACAGTGGTTACCACACATTAAATTTAGTACTTGTATAATCAAGTATTAAATAAATATGCAGTAACTGCAGTTACTCCACAGTAGCGCTGGCAAACTTCTTTTTAGTGATGCTACTGCGCAGTAGCTTAATAATGCTGCACAGTAGCGTATTATCACTGTTTGTGCTGTGAAGCACTACTGCGCAGTATTATTAGGCTACTGTACAGTTAGTGTCTTGTGTAGATGCACCTAGGTAGATCTCTTTGAGGGAGAATTCTCTGGATGTTCTCAAACTAGCAAGCTGCTTAGGATATTTTATTACCATATAATGTCATGTGATTATGTAACAAGAGACCACATTGCAATACACATCAAATATGCCAGTGGAAGAGTTAAAGTTGTTATGGCCACCTTATCTCAGCATCACTAGATTTGTGTGCATCTCAACCTTAATGTTGCAGTAATGTGGCTCACGTTTTCAGTTATCAATATACTGGTACTTTTCATGGCTATATTCTGTCATGGCTGTGAGCTGCATCTCAAGAAGTACAGAAGTAAGAGAGGGGAATAGACAGAGGGTAACATATCAATGGTTGGTACATTCCTTTGAAGAGGGATGGGGATTAGCACTAAATACAATATCTCAGGCCTATCCGGTCACCAAAATCACAGCCAAGTCTCTCTTGCACAAACTCCATCTTCAGTGGGTCCTGGATACCTTGTGTATGGCAGACACTCCCACCTTCCTTGCTCTGGCCCCCACATCAAAAGCTGTCAGGCCTCATGGTTTCAGTGTCCAGGTGGGATTCCCTGCCTCACACTGGCTCCAAGAGCCCTGTTTTCTGTTACTGGCCAATTGCACCACTTAAAACACTTTGTTCCTAAACAAGGAATGAAACTCCAGAAAAACTCTCACCTTCCCTGATGTAAGCTTTGCCTGCAGCTCCCAACACTCCTGCTGCAAAGCTCCAATCTGTTTATCTTTTGCCAAGAGGGCACTGGCTTGTTCCGTCAGGTCCTTGGTACGTTGGCGAGCAAATGCTTTTTTACACAGCTCAAGGCTAGAGCCCTTCACAGCCACTGGAGCATTTACCTACGCCAGGGAGAGAACAGCAACACATGTGGTGTCATTGTTAATCATCACAGAGGTAGTCAGAGGGCACACAGTGCCTGACTGGTTAGCCAGGGGTGAATTTCCTCCTGGAGAAGTCACGGGCTGCACCATCATATAAAGAAAACAGTTCAGACTTTTGCTTTTGGATGGTGTATCTTGTCCAATAGCAGGATCACTATGCTCTGAAGCCCTGCCCTATCCCATGGGCCCAGTGTACTGTAGCATTCTCAGGACACTGGAACCAGCTGCTAGCAAAATAACACCAACTCCTGGATGCCCGTCACTATATTGCTGCCTTGGAAACCAGGCACAGACCCCTCTTATTCAATCCTCTGTTGCACAAGGGTGGTCTATTAAAACCCAACCAGCTGGGAACCACAATGTCCATTCTACACGTTTCTCTAAGGTGATAAAACAGCCATTCATATTCCAACATTGAAACGTGTTTGATGATCATACAATTAGGGTGATCATCTCATTGAGGCTTTTTGTGTCGCCTCAGAAGAGAAAGATACCACTCCTAGCTTTACATGCAACATGTCATTTCTACGTTTCAGACTTCCCAGCAGTGCCTGTGACACTGTTGCTCTCTGTACAGTTATACCCCCAGAAGGGTGCTGTGCACTGCACAGAGAACTTGCCAAAGCAAGGCCTCCCCCACAGGGAGCATACAGTGGGCATTTCCAAAGAGAGACAGACTCAAAGGGGGTGGGGGAATTTAAGTGAGCAGGACACAGCTCCTATAATATTACACACACACACACACACACGCACACACACAGAGTGTGTGCGCGCGCGCATGTGTGTGTATAGGTATATTTATGTATGTATAGAAATAGCAGTGATTATTGCCTTGCTTCTCCTAGGAATGGCAGGAGGAATGTCAGCACAAAACCTAGGAAGTACCAAAGTTTGGTGTCCAGGAAGTATCTATTTAACTTTATTCCCCCAAGCCTGCACCCAGGTTCCTTGATACATAGGAGACTGACACAAGGGGTAAAGAAACAAGGCTAACTGAACATCACAAATGGATGGAGATGTTCTGACCAGTTCTGTTAGCAGTGCTCCCCCAGGCTGTTCTGCCTACTGCTTGCCACCTGCCTTTTCCCAAAGAGAAGTTATATCCGGTAGGGGCAGGTGTAGGGTTAAGGGCAACGTTCTCACTAAAATTGCCAATAACACACATAACACAAAGTCCAGTACCATATTGGAAAGCAAAGTATGATGGCTCCATTGCCTTAGGTGGGAATTCTAAGGCCCAGGAAGAGCAGAGCAACAACACCCCAATATAGCACTTGGACTTCCTGATCCAGGTGCAAACCCTTCCTTTTGATATGGGTTAGTGGCTCCTGTGAGAGCAAGACTTCTACCTGCAACTTTTGCCATTTGCAACTTTGTGGCAAGGGGAGGTGGGAAGAAGACAGGTAGAAACACCTGCAGCCTACACTTTTTGGGTGCATGTATCATGGTGGAAATTCAACACACTAATGTTGTGTGCCCACACACTGATTGGGAGCTCCCCCACCCACACTCTGACACTCCTAACTTGTATGTGACTTACATGCCCTTTGTGACCCCTACACCCAATTGCTCTCTCCAGACCCCCACATGCTCCCACTCCCCTAGAAAACCACAGACACCACCTTCCTAAAGCAGGGCTCCAGGTCCAATTCCCCAGGCCCATTTCCCCAACTCCTCTTCTCCTTCCCCAAGCTAGTCTACAACTCTTCCCCATCAGTCCTCTCCCTCTACCTGTCAGCTCTGTGTTCTTGGGGAACCGTGGTGCAGTACTCAGCCTGTCTGACTCATGAAGGACTGACCTTTCCTCCGCACTGCCTGGACCAGAACCTGATCGATTCTGGTCCTTCCTCTGACCAGAACCGATCAGAGGAAGGACTTACAAAAGGCAATGAAGATGCAGTGGGAGACGCTTCTAAACCCCTCCAGACAAGGGTGATAAGGCAACTCCCCTAATCTCATTTACACTGAGGATGGGACAAGGAGGCCTCTCCATTAGAATTCAGGATGGAGACCAGAGATTCCAAGGCAAGGACTGCACTGAACTCTGGGACCAGACAAGCAGGGGAGCATTGCTTGATGGGAGATCTCTGCTCCAAATGCTAATCAGCCCACATCTGCAGACACCCAGCTCAGCATTTATCAGAACAATTCTAGTGATGACTCCTTTATTGGTACCCAAAACACTGAATCTCCCTGTTTGCATTGTGAGCCCCCTCAGAGTAACAGTCACCCACAGCCAGGAGTGGTCAGCTTCTATTGTCCAGCATAACAAAACTCTGGTATACTCCCTTGAGCCATCATTTACCCATAAACAAACCTAGTATAAGTGTTCTCCCTTGAACCATTGCTGTTTCCCTACAAAAAACCCTACCCAAGCTCAAGTTTCTGTTCTGGTGCTTGGATCCAAATGTTGCACCAGTTCCACTGGGACTTCACCTTCTCCTTTTTCTGCCTGGACTGCCTCCACTGATCGTGCTGGGGGCTCTGCCCGTCTCAAGCACTCTGGACTTGAAACTGAGCAGCTTGTCTGCAAACTCCAACAAACACCCGTAACCTCGACCAGTTCAAGTTTCATGGAGTGGTGAGACCCCAGCACGCTCACACTCTCACTCTCACTCTCACTCTCTCTCTCTCTCTCTCTCTCTCTCTCTCTCTCTCTCTCTCTCTCTCTCTCTCTCTCTCTCTCTCTCTCCAGGCATTACTTTATAAACCTGACTTTTGTTGATCAGACTTGAGCTAGATTTCCCAAAAATGCCCAACTGAAGTCGTGTAATACTGTAACTGTTGTGTTTGTTTTTCCTTGTATGGCTATTACTACTAGGATCATAAGTTTCATATAGCTGGTAATAAAATAACTTTTATGGTCAAGCTGGTTGCCATACTCTCTCTCTCCTGGATTCCACCCTCCCCCCATCCCATGTGCTCTATAGCAATTCTTCTTTTACCTACGCCAAAGATTCCTGCAAAGCCCAAAAGTCCTGTGGGGTCTACTCATCAAGGGAGTTACTATCAGGATAAGTGGGACAAGAGATTGAGAATTGCTGAGCTGTGGCATACGAGGGTTTCAGCCTGTATATCCTGAGTAACCCTGCCCACTCAGACGTGCTCTGTTAACCTGTGTGCATGTGTCTGACTGCATTTTATTGCTGCCCTAAGCACAGTTCTGTAAACTAAGTTCTGTGCTGAGTTCATGGCATATGAGGGTACCAGCCTGTAAATGCTGATTGACCCAGCTGGCTCAGGTGTGCTCTGTTTCTGTGCTGAGTCTGGGGCACATGAGGGTATCAGTCTGGAAATGCTGAGTAACCCTGCCCACTCAGACATGCTCTGTTAATCTATGTGTGTGTTTATGAGTTTGACTGATTCGGTAGCTGGAGGAACCCAACCCCATTGAAACTAAGCCCTGCAAGGTAGTTCCACTGGGGGTGAGGAATTGCAGAAGGGAGAGACAGAGCTCAGTATAGAAACACAAGTTACACAAGCAGTACATTGATAGAATTGCAGAGACCCCAGAAACATACCCCTAATAAATGAGTGCACCCCAAAGGAACGGGCAAATGTGGTAACAATCCCCAGGCAGATTCCAGTTTGAGGGCTTGTCTATATTACAGAGGGTAGCCAACCTTTGGCATGTGTGCCACAAGTGGTAAAGGCAGGCTCTGTGTGTCATGCAGCAGACTGGGGAGGGGGCAGACAGCACAGTAGCAGATATGGCAGGGGGCAGAAAGCAGAGCAGCAAATTGGGCAAGAGAAGGGGATCAGAGTGGCACTTGAGGGTGTGGGCCTAATTCATGACATACCTGCCAAAACAGTTGGCCCCCATTTCTCTATAGCTAGGCCAGCAGAGCTCTGTCAGCAGAAGGGGTTTTTTCACCCATCACTTTTACCACTTCCCTGGACAACATGGCCAAGCTGGCAGAAGCTTTCTTCTGTCAACTGAGCTGCATCAAGACTAGGGGGGATTGCCAGAACAGTTTCATGAGCTAGAGGTTTTGATCTTTTCCTAGCTGACATCTCACAAGCTGGCAAACCTGGGTAGTCTGAGCCAGACACTGTGTCTGATGGCAGGGTTCACTGGAGCTGGTGGGTGAACTGGTATGTAAACCAGCGTGCCTTGATCAAGTGTACTTTGTTCATGTTGATTGGAGGCTGGGAGCTGGGAGATAGGTGTGCTCTTCTCTAAGGTGAGTGTGGCCATCCTTTATTAGCAAGGTTTGGGCTGAAAGCCTTATAAAAGGCCACTTGTGAGCAGAGCAAGCATACAGAGAACAGCTTGTAGGGAGTTCCCCTGCAGAGGGAGCCATGTGGGGCTCACTTGCTCCCTCTACCAGGAATGGTAGAGCACAGTTCTCAGGTGTGCTGGACCACTTAACTGGAGGTGTGCTGCAGTAGAGACTGGTGAGCAGAACCAAGACAGACCAGAAGTTGTGATCCAAGCAGAATGTGCTATGTTTGTCTTCATTCCTGGAAACAGGAGACTTCATCCGGCAAACCTGGTAAGGATAATTTTAAAGTAGGTCCTGTGGAGGGGATGGCAAAAAAACCCACGGCCTAGTTTAAAAGTAAGAATAAGGAATGAGAAAGCTGAGAAGGATTTGAATTTTGGAGAAGAGCTAAGAAACCTTAGTAGGACTGAAGAAACAGTACTGCAAAAAATTAGGCAAGCTATCTATCAGTTATCTTCAATGTCTATATATAAATGCAAGGAGTACAGGCCACAAAACATCACACCATGTAAAGAAAACTGACCTAATAATTTGCAGTACAGAGACTTGATAATTTTGATAATCTCCATTACTGGAATATCTTTACTAAAGGGTTAAGCTTGTTCCAGAAGGCTAAGTAAGAGAAGGAGAAAGGGGCATTGCACCACAGGTCAAGCACATACACACTTGCCCCTTGGTCCAAGATGTATGGTAAGTTGAGAGTATCTTGATGGAGATAAAGGGAGTAAAAAA